TTATTTCATTTGCTCCAAAGATTGAAGTATTAAAGCAAAAAATTTGCAAGACTGTCAGTGCTAGAAGCCGTTAATGTACAGTATATGAATTAGATATGAAGCTTTTTTGTATTAAGCTAAGCTTAACTCATTGTTGGTATTTATCAGACAGCAAGAAAGTATTCTGTTCAGAGAAAGAGAGAAGGGTGGAGATTGGCAAAAAGCTAGAAATAGGCACGTCAATAGGGAAAATGGCAGGTGCAGATATTTCTGGCCATATGACCAAAATATATAAGAGACGAATAAAGCAAGGGAGGGATAAAGAGACATTTAAGAGATAAGAGGAACAGAGCCAGTCAAATGAAAATTAAAGTCCCTTTCATGCCAGTTGTATGTGCAAAAAATACCACAGACCAGTTTGCAAAGTGCCTGTCTCAGTCTGAAATACCATTGTGCTGCTTTTGAGTTGGAGCTTAGTGTGAGTAAGCATCTCGTTATCTCACTTGTGCAGCCAGCTCCGTTGGATTAAAACAACTGTGCACTGGTCCGGGTGCCCAGAATACACAAATGTAAAATGCAACACATCTCCAGCTGCGAATGTCTGCGTGCCTGTTCACTTGTGTGCGACGGTCTCTGCAGTGCATATGTGCCTATTGGCTTTACAGGTTTTTGACTTGGAAGCTAATTAGACACCGACTAGCCTTCTACGTACCCACAGAGCAAGAGCGGAAGAAAACACGTTTCAAGAAAAGAAGAGGAGGAGAGGAGACGTCTAAGAAGGCGAAACAAAAAAAAGGAGGAAAAAAACACTTCTCCAGGCAGAACTGTGACGCACAAAAGGACACACCATCTCCTCTCCAATGACCTTTTATTGCTGGGGAAGGATACAGAGTTGGCAGGCCCCTGAGCCTGTGTGGAAATACAGTGTGTAACAGCAGCAGGACCATCCTCCTCTTTGCCAAGTGAAGGCAATCAATCAATAGCCTCTTTCCAAGGAAGGGATAAGTAGAAGTTGTCAATATTGAGTCCAATAGAATATATACTGCAATAGAATATATACTATATACTGCATGTGACAGAAATCAAATCAAACAGTAATGTTATTTTGCAACAAATCCCACGACACAAATAATTTGCTTTGAGAATGTACTGAGATCACAATGGAGGAAATGAGGGAAAACCAGTGTTTGCAGATCCTGATCCTTGTTCCTTGCTTCTGTGGTCAGAAAGTAACTCGGAGTATAAAACAAGAACCCCCGTTAGCCTTCGTGTGTTCACAAATGCATGCAAAAGAAATGCATTTCAGTTTATATACGTTAAAGTATTTTCTTTACAGGCGTACAGCATGTATCGCAGATTTGTCTCAGCAGACATTAATTTGGGTCTGATTAATGATGAAATTCTCACGTAACAGCTGTAACACTGACACCAGATTTCCACCCTTCCGCGGAAATATCCCCCTCATCTCCAAGTTCAGTTTAAGTCATTCCACTATTCCATGACTAAAGGATTAATTTCCAATTTGATGTGTGTGTGTGCATGACTGTGTGTAAGTGAGCATGTTTGTAAGTAGATGTGTCAGAGGGCTATTACGGTCGGTTAGAGCCGGTCTTACTTCATGTCACATCTCCCATCTGCAGGCATTTTTACATTGGCCCGTTTGCCTCCAGCTCAGTGGGTGCACACAATGGTGCAAAAAATATGAGCAGGAAGCAGGGCTGCAGGAGCTTCTGCGTCCAGTAGCTGTGTGCATTTCTTTGTCTATTTACTGAACTGGCTCGCAGTCACAGCTGTAACGTGACCATATCCAGTTGGGCGCATCTCTGTCCTGGAGCACATCCTGACCACTGCCTCAGCTTGGCTTTTGAATGATGGGATATGAAAATGAAAACAAACATCCCTTCGCAAGCACTACAGCTGCCTTAGGCACTGCTATTATTTCAAAGCCACAGTTCAACATCTTGGGAAATGTGCTCTTGCTACTTGCTAACTTGCCAATGGTCAGATCAAATGATTGTTGCCCCTCAGGTTTGTTAATGTGATGCTGTAGCCAGTTGCTGCTGAACTTAGATTAACGTGGAACCAGAAGGAAACAGCGACCCTAACCCAACCTGCCAAATGAATGTTACATTTTTGTTTAAAGGAGCACTGCAGTCCTATATAAAATAAAAATGGCAGCTTTTAAATCCTTTTATGGTTCTGTGAATAGAAAGAATCGCTTCTCTTGCATTACCACTCTGCCCTTTGAACACCTGTTCTGGTGCTATGTACCTGCAGCTGTGCTAGTTGGTGTGTGACCATCATACACTGAAAAACTGCTGGTCTTCAAAGTTAAGTAATCAACTCATCTAGCACTTTTTAAACCCGCTTAAATTTTTACCTTTGTGTTATGCTAGCTTAGTTTCCTTCCAAGAGCTAAGCTAGTTGTCTTCCCCTATTTTTATGCTATGTTAATAACCTGCTGGCTTTTCATCAGATAGACAAGAGAAAGCTTTCTACTTTATTTTACCATCAGAAAGAAAGCAAATTATATCAATTTTGTTTGTGATGCAAAACAATACTATTGTACTCGCTGTCAGAATCAGTGTTAATAAGAGTCTTTCTACCCCAAGGGGAAATTAGAGGCAGAACCAAAGCTTCTGTCTTTGTGTGTTTAAGCATACATGTGCCTAAGTATGGGTTGACCGTGAAGCACGGGGGTGTAACAAGTGCAAAATGTTCCATTTTACTTCATCCACTTAAATATTGAAATTCAGCTCATTCACGTGCGATGCAACAGGAAGCTGTTATTACTCAAAACCAAGCTTTGCAAACCTTCACCTTGTGTAAACGAACAGCAACTGCAGCGTGTACGTGTATTAGGAGAGGGAGACGTGGGTTTTCCTTGTCATTTCATGTGTGTCACTGTGCTGACATGAATTGGGGCAATCAGCTATCCTATTTCCAGTCTGCACCCTCACCCTTGCCTGTGGCATCGCATGGCCTAATCAGTAAGCTGCAGCAGAAACTAACACAGGCTCACAGTCAAAATGATCGAGTTTATGTATGTATGTATGTGTATATGTGAGAGTTTAGTATGGAGACCTGAATAGACCTGCACATTAAGCAATGCATTACTGACAGAACCCGTGCAAATATCACACCCAAAGCCATGGAAGCAATCAGGAGCACAGGACTGAAGGCATCTCAGCATACTGCTGAAGTAACAGTATATATAATTATGCATGTACCAATCAAAACATCGGTACATGCATAATTATATATACTGTTATGAGTCAGCATTAATTCCTATCATCTCTCTCTCTCTCTCTCTCAAGAGAAAACAAGCAACAAAAAATTAGAATTATTTTCTGACTGTCTTATGTTTGTGGTTTATATTTGTTTTCTTCTTTTAATAGCTCTTAAGGATGCAACAATAAAACCTTTGTACATCAAACGCTGCCATGTGTCTGCCGCGTGAAAGGCCTGTGGTGACCAAAAATAAAATACCTGTGACACCACCTCTGACACATCCATAAATACTGTGTTTATACTGGATGGTATGCTATTATTGTGCATTCATTTCATTACATAAAATATAAAACCCTAACTTTTTTCTCTCTTTTTGGACAAATCACAAGAATATGTGACTGCAAGTGCCAGTAAATGTGTGAAGAAAGGTTTCTCACTATTAGATGTAGATCACATTACAGAAAGGCATCAGTTTGTGCAGTTGCAGTTCAAAAAAAACTGCTTCGCCTTCACATGTTTCGGCACACAAATCCTGCCATATTCGGTCGACCTTGACATTATCAGAATAGCAAATTACACCCAAAGCCATGGAAGCAATGTATTGTATAGCTAAATATATTTTGGCTCTCGTTAGTTTGATTTAATGTGTGTGTGTCTCAAAATGTCTTCGGTAAAGTATTTCTTTTCTGCTTTGCTTTCAATTCTGCGATATGTTATACTTGGATACATCTAAACATTTGATTTCAAACACAGGAAAAAAGTATCTGATCTAATCCTTCGCATGTCTGTCATAGCTTTTTTCTTTTTCTTTAATCAAATGAATAATTGTGAGACTTAACAGGAACAGTACACATGCACAAGGCAGCCTGATGTCTCGGTTGAATACTAAAGTCAATGGAAAGCAATTCCAGATAAGTATTAAAAGCATGGAAGGTTTGTGACATGGAAACCTGAAGCACCGCAAGTGTTCATGTTTGCTATTTTTGCTATTTTAAATAATGTTAGTCCTTGCACAGTAACTCAGTCACCAAAAAAATACAAAGAATTGTTTTTTTAAGCATTTTGAAATGATCACAAATAGGATGTTTTCGTATGTTACAGGAAATCCTATTTCATTCTTTAATGAACGTTTACACACCTTGTAAGGCTTTTTGGTGCATTAACAGTGCATGCAGAAGTAGATAGGACACTGCACTCAAACCCAACAGAGTAGAAATCACTTATCACATTGTCTTGTTTGCTCACCATCCAGCAGGGCCCACTGCCAAAACAGATCTCAGCAGCTGGCATTTGTGGGCTCTCTCCTCTTCACAACAACTGTAGAACCTTAACACAAATACGGCCACAGCAGTTTGTTTCTGGGCTAATGATTAAGGGAAAGATGGATTACAGTACAAAATCATGCCCCAGCAGTGCGCGGACTGACACTCTCACTGTGCAAAGTCACACATAAAGCTACATCGTACACTCTGTCACATACATGGGGATAAATGCACTCCTTAAAAGGAGTTTCTCCTCTCCTTCCTGTCATACCTGTGGGTGGAGCGACAACAAGACTTTTATAATGTTACACAGAGGAGCTCGAGCTGTGTCACAATTGTATTGCTTTGGTTAGTGCCATCATGGAGGTCCTTGAGAAAACTGTCAGTGTAAACAAAACAATTCTATATAAGATGGCTGTGTGGTTTAACCAAATAGTGTTTGTGCATTTTATAATACTAGGAAAATGTTTTGTATATTTGAACTGGGTCTATAGTTACTACAGAAAATTTGGCAAACATTTCTAGTTTCCTTCTATTGGATTTTTTAGCGAATGCTGTAAATCAGACATGTAAAAAATGATGGTAACACAAGATGAATTCATTTTTTTTTTTTTTTTGGTGAGAGGCATATTTGTATCCATCCACTAAATATAAAGCCAGTACATGGTTAGCCTAGCTTGGTATTAAGACAATGGAAAGCAAACAGCAACATTTTTTTTACTTTGATGGTTGGTTTTAACTCATAGATTTAGAACTAATCTAGCTGTAGGTGCGAATGTGAACCATTGTCTGTCTCTCTGTGCTAGTCCAACCTCTCACCCTATGACAGCTGGGGGGATGGATGCATGGATGCATGGATATTTTGACTATGGCTTAGATATAATTGTCTGACTTAGATGTCTAAATTTATCCACACACATTTGTTTAGCTCTTAAATGTCTTAAGTGGGATTATTTTGCTATAATTTCCTTATAAGTTTAAACCTCTGAATGTATTCAGCATTGGTGCTCCTTAGACTGTATATCAAAGATGGATGTAGCTTCTGTTCCTAAAAGGTGAAGCTAATGTGAAAGTGCCTTAAACCTGATTCTTTCTAGTGGCCAGCAGGGGGCGACTACACAGTTTCCAAACTGTTCAGCAGTTTAATAATTTATGGCAAAAACCGCCCTTCAACTCCCGCTGTCTTTGATTTCATTAAGATTTTTTTTTTTTTTTAAATAATAGCTATATGGTCTCAGATGCTAGTTTCAATTCTTATTGAGTATAGCATGATGTTTAGTTTGTAAACCATGATCCCCTTTAAAGATGGCTTATGGTTGATAAATCATTACTGTATGAGTGTGCAGTGTCCCTCCATTTCTCACTCAGATCCACCACTTTCTTGTCACATCTGGTTTCAACATCAGCAAATGTCTGTCTTTTAATAAAAAAGTCATTTTTCACAGTGGTCAAGATCTTCTGTGCCCAAAACATATTTTTTCCTATAAACGTTATCAATGAGTTTTATTTTTATGATATCAATGCAATGAAACAGCTATGGGCCAATAGCTGTAGACAGTAGGTGAAGGTCTTTTTTGGAGGAAAATACTTTTGTCCTCCTTCACTGAGCTACAAATCCAGTTAGAGCTCTGTTTCTGTCAAGCAAGCCGTCAACATCTTTAGTTCTGGTATCCAGCTTTCCTCAGTACATCCATAAAATAACCATAATAAAGCATCTTAGAGGAGTATTCAGTGAAAAATGTACCAATAAAAAAGACAAACTGATCTGGAGGAAAAAAAACTACAACTACAGTCACAAAAACACACTTTTCCTACTCAGTGTTAACAATATCATCAGCAAAGCACAAACTGTAAGCCACGTTTTCCATCTTTATTTCATCTGGTGTTACTATAGTGCAGGTCGCAGTTCACAGGTAACCTGGGGTTAGGTTACTTTTAGCTTAAGATTCTATCTTTGCTTTGTCTTGATTTTTTTTTACTTTTAAACTTTAAAATTTCAAAAAGCTGATTTTAAACTGATGTAAAGATCAGTCAGAAATATCTCTGTGAAAACATATTCAGAGTTTTTCCGAGATATGTTGTTTTTGAGTTTTTTTAATGCTAACTTTGCACATAAAGTAACAAAATATGTGGTCATATATTTGCATACATAGTCTATGTATTACCCAAGGACTGGGGACCTCCACTATGGCGACTACAGTGTGTGTAACAACACCTGGAAGCCCACTAAAAATGATAGAAACACATTCCTTGTTCCATTTATTAACAGATCCAAGCCTGATAAACAGACACAGTTTCATGAGACTTCTCAGACAGTCGTGGAAGGAGGCACTGTGGGAATCCATGGCGAGAGGGGTGGGATTTTATTTTAAACAGTATGTGAAGTTTTTAAATTCCCATTGTCATGGCCACTCCTGGTGCTCGCAGCACGGCCTGTCTCAATGCTTTCTTCCTCGTCGTCCATCTCGAGCTGCTCGTCTTTCTTCTTGATGTAGCGCTCATAGAGCACCATGATGACACCCATCACCCAGGCCGACACGGTGCCAGCAGCGAAGATGACAAAGCCGATGACAACAAAGAAAAGGTAGTCCCAGGAGCCGAGTGTCTGATGACATAACGTCCGTAGCTGGATGCCCACCTCCCCCAGTCGACGGCCCTGAGTATCAGCAGGTGAACCGCACACCGTCTGGCCCTCATCTGTCACACAAAAGTACACCAAGGAGGAACGGTGAGGATTAATCATGGGACAAAGCAGCATATCAGCATTTTTCTATTGTTAGAAATCAATCCTTTTTCTTCTTCTTTCTTTCATAATATCAAAGAAACGCACCACAGACAGGTCACAGCTGTCCTAGAGTGGCACCGCTCGAG